AACATATTAACTGCTAATTTTTACTTTATTTTAAATAATGAATAGGGAGTAAGTATTCTCATCATTTACCATTATTATAGTCAATATCGTTGTTTTTGAAAACATATTAATTGCTAATTTTTACTTTATTTTAAATAATGAATAGGGAGTAAGTATTTTCATCATTTCATTATTATTACAGTCAATATCATTGTTTTTGAAAACATATTAACTGCTAATTTTTACTTTATTTTAAACAATGAATAGTATGTAAGTATTCTCATCATTTACTATTATTATAGTCAATTGTTTTTGAAAACATATTAACTGTTAATTGATTCTCATTTTATTTTAAATAATGAATAGCCTGTAAGTATTTTCATCATTACTATCATTACAGTCAATGTCATTGTTTTTGAAAACATATTAACTATTAATTTTTACTTTATTTTAAATAATGAATAGCATGTAAGTATTTCATCATTACTATCATTATATTCAATATCATTGTTTTTGAAAAATATTAACTGCTTATTTTTGTTTTATTTTAAATAATGAATAGCCTGTAAGTATTTTCATCATTTACCATTATTACAGTCAATATTATTGCTTTTGAAAACATATTAACTGCTAATTTTTACTTTATTTTAAATAATGAATAGAATGTAAGTATTCTCATTATTTACCATTATTACAGTCAATATCATTGTTTTTGAAAACATATTAACTGTTAATTTTTACTTTATTTTAAATAATGAATAGCATGTAAGTATTTCATCATTTACCATTATTACAGTCAATATCATTGGTTTTGAAAACATATTAACTGCTAATTTTTACTTTATTTTAAATAATGAATAGGGAGTAAGTATTCTCATCATTTACTATTATTATAGTCAATATCATTATTTTTGAAAATATATTAACTGCTAATTTTTACTTTATTTTAAATAATGAATAGGGAGTAAGTATTCTCATCATTTACTATTATTACAGTCAAAATCATTGTTTTTGAAAAAAATATTAACTGTTTGTTTTATTTTAAATAATGATAGAAAGTAAGTATTCTCATCATTTACCATTATTACAGTCAATATCATTGTTTTTTAAAACATATTAACTATTGATTGATTTTAAATGATAAATAGATTGTAAGTATTTTCATCATTACTATCATTACACTCAATATCATTGTTGTTGAAAACATATTAACTGTTGATTGATTCCTGTTTTGTTTTAAATAATGAATAGCAAGTAAGTATTCTCATCATTACATTCAATATCATTGTTTTTTGAAAACATATTAACAGCTGATTGATTCATTTTATTTTTAATAATGAATAGCCCATAAGTATCTTCATCATTGCCATCATTACAGTCATATCATTGTTTTTGAAACATATTATTAACTGTTGATTGATTTTAAGTAAATAGAAAGTAAGTATTTTCATCATTACTGTTATTAAAGCCAATATCATTGTTTTTAAAAACACACTAACTATTAATTTTTATTTTATTTAAATAATGAATAAGTCTGTAAGTATTTTCATCACTACACTATCATTATAGTCAATATCATTGTTTTTGAAAACATATTAACTGTTGATTAATTTTGTTTTATTTTAAATAGTAAATAAGGCTGTATTTTCTCTTTAATTTTTGTTTGTAATATTATAAATTGTATTCTTCTTTTTACTTTATCTTTTATTGGCTATTATAATTTTTACATTGCATAAAGTTTTCATGCAAATGATAATGTTTATTAATGTTTATTTTACAACATAGGAAAAATAAATAAATAAATCAAATTCATACACAATAAGTGTTTATTATAATTGAAAAAGCAAGTTTTACATGTCAATATAAATGGAGAATGAGAAGAAATAAAGTTGTGTTTGGTAAAAGATTTAAATAATAATAATATGAATCGAAATACCTTCTATAAATAAAATATTAATATGTATATTAGAAAAACTTAAGTGAAGTGCAGTCTTCATTAATTACGCAAAATACTACATAACACTTATGCAAAAAATTTATATTTATTTATAGCTTAGATTTCGAGAAACTACATATTAATATGAAATTTCAGGCTTTTAGCATCAAATAATAATAAATAAAAATTTGAAGATAAATTTTTTGAATTTTTTGACGGATTTTTTCAATATCAACATTTAAATATATACATTTAAAATTTAATATTTGGTAGGCCATCCATTACTTGCAATGCATGCTTCAATTCTACGAGGCATACTTTCAACTAACTTCATCTGGAACTCTATTCCATTCTTCAACTAAAGCAGCCTCTAATTCTTTCAATTTTTTTGCTGGCTTTGTTTTTTTTCGAATACGAGTCTCCAATTCATTCTACAAATGTTCAATTGGATTTAGATCAGGAGACTGACTTGGTCAATTTTCCAAAATTTTTATTTCATTTGTTTTTAACCATTCCTTAACTTTTTAGCGGTATGAACTGGTGCATTGTCATCTTGGAACAGATAACCTCTATTATTAAAGTCATTGTTTATTAATGGTAGCAAATAAGATTGGAATATTTTGATGTAATCATGTTGGTTCATTTTTCCATCAACTTTTACTAGTTGTCCTTTTCCAGAAAAACATTACACCGCTGCCTCCATGTTTGACTGTGGGTCTCAGATTCTCGATAATGTACTCAGAAGCTTGTGGACTTGACAAATTGATAAAAACATCTTTTTTAAAATAAATTTACAATTATATATATATATATTAATATTATCATGATTTTTTTTTAAACTAGATATAACTTTTTTAGGTTTTATAATTACTACATTAAAAGAATTAAAAGAAAAAAATAAATCAATATTGCAATAATGAGAATAAAAAGCTTGCATTTTTGATTTTTATTTGGTTTGTGACTAAATCTAAAAATGAGATTGAGAATATCAACATCTCTAAAGCCAAAATTTTCTGAAAGACTATACAATATTTTCCATTATATAATTCTTAGTGGAAAAAAAATACCAGTTTTCAAGTTTGATTTTTCTTTCATTGTTTTTCTAACATAGTCATTTGAAAATTTAATATTAAGATCACAAATCACTATTCTATATATTACTATTACCAAGTACGATTGTAACATTTAGTGACAAAATATCTTGTTGCAGTATGCCCATATTATGTTAACATCATAATCATCAGAAAAACAAATATCTTTGTCGAAAAGAAAATTCAATAAATTTTTTTCATTTATTAGGCCATTGAAATTTATATTAATGTTACAATTATTTTGTACCTAGTTTAATGGTATGAATAAAGAAAATTATCTGAAAGTATTAATTGAGAATTTTGTCCTTTCCTTTACTCGTTGGAACATGAATTAAAAAATCACGTCTAAAATAGAACATGGACATTTATATGAAGATGTGAGATTTGTGATCCATAAAATTAAAATTTGAATGAAAGCAATTTATTAATTGATTAATTAATTAATTAACACATATTTATATTGTATACGTATATGTATATGTACTCTTAAAAGAAATCAATGATTTATAGTTAACTCATGGAAAACGCGAAATGTAAAATCGTTTTAAAAAATGCTTACGAGATAGATAAATGTTCAATTTTATCTTCAATTTTATCTTCATCTTTAGAAAATCTTTAGCACGGAACTTGACGAAAAGAAATACAAGGAACATTCTCATTTGCACTACAATGACGAGATTGGGAATATTATATTTACATATTTTTCTTTTTAGATAGCATAATAAGGGTGCTTTACCAAAAATCGCAAAAAAAATCATTGTTGGTATATATTAGTGTTTAGAATTAATACAATTATGATTATGATCATCGGGTTCTAAAAATATTTATTTAATAATTTTTTACAAACCTGTATTTTTTTTATATACTTCAAATGTACAATTACTACCATTACCTATAAACGTATAACACTTATATTATAAATAAACGGAGATGAACTGTTTATTACACATTACATAAATATATTAGTGTGTAGTAAAAAAGTAAATAAATTAAATTAACAAAATGCAAATTTCCAAAAAAATATAAAAAGTGAATAATAAAATAATAAATCTTCATAAAAATTTTTTTTAAATAAAATTGGAGAAATCATGAAGAATAACAATCTATATTATAATAATAATAGTAATGAAAACATTAACAATGATGTTGATGATTATAATGATGTCGATGCTAACAACTACTACGACAACAATTATAGTAATAATAAATCTTTTATTTCAATAGATTTATCGCAACAGGCTACAACAAATATGACTACAATGTCTTCACCATTATTTCGTTTATCTTCTTCACCTCTTTCTATTTTATCAATAGAAGAAGAAATACAACAATCTAATTATTTTCCCAGTATAAAAGATAAAAATATAGAAGAAAGCAATAACAATAGTGATAATAATAATAATAGTAATAGTAATAGTATTAGTATTAATAGTATCAATAATAATGTTAATAATAATAATAATAATAATAATATTTATAATGAATACTCATTTAAATCACGAAGGCAATCAATAACTACTAATCCAATAACAACTACTACTTCAGCAGTTCTAATGCCAACTGATAATAATGACAACAAGAACAACACGAATACAAATAGTAATAATACAACTAATAATGATATTGTTATAACAAAACCTGCAAGCGTAAAATATAGATATCATAAAGTTCCAATAAAAACTTCCCTAATTTCAAATTTTTATGATTTTCCATTGGGAACTTATAACACAATCTCCTCATTAACAGATTATATCATGACATATGAAAAACAACGATTGTATCAATTAAATCAAAATCAACAATTAAACGAAAGGAACATTAATAATACAAATGGTAATGTTAATCAAAAGACAAAAAGAAATTTGTTTGGTGGATTAAAAAACAAATTAAGTAAAAGAAAGAATAGTAATAATAATAATGTTAATAGCAGATCAAATAATGTCAGAAGGAATTCTATTTAAATTGTAAGTGAAAGGCAAACAAATACGACAGACAATTATTTTCTTTAAATCTTAATATTTAAATTTTTTTTCTTCTATTAATACTAATAATAATAATAATTGTTGTATATTTTAATTAATATGAAATAAATTTTTATTAAAAAAAAATTTCTATTTACAAAAAAAAAAAAAAGAATTAATTAATTTAACAACGAAAAATTAATATTTACAAATAATAAATAACAAATAATAATAACAATAAATAAATATAATATTGATTTAAAACTAACTAAATCAAGAAGCCTTAAACAACAATATGATATATAACAAGTCTATAAATTTCTTTTTTAAATTTGAATTTTTTAGAAAAATTGTTCTTTTATATTTCTCCTGGTATTTCAAAATAATGACTGAATATACTTTCATTCTTTAAAGATTCCGACTCTGCTATCACGTAATAAACATGTAGCATAAGTTCTGGGAATCTTGAAACAAAATAAAAAAGGAATCCATTTGGGATCTCTCCAAGCGATCTTTTTACATGATCTGGAAGATCTTGATAATGATTTTTCTAAAGAAATTAAAATTGAGATTATTTATTTCACTCATTTATTTTATTTATTTAATTAAAATAAATATATAAATGAATATACAAACCTTGTTTCTTAAAGCTCGTAATAAGTCCCTTATTTTGGCTCCATCATATTTTCTATATTTACCAAGATTCTCCACTAAAATTTTATCTATACGTTTGTACCAATCAATACCTATTATTTTACTGGAATCTTGCTCAAGACGATTAAGTAACGGTGATGGTGGATCTCTTTCCTCTATCTCAAATCTATCAGATGCATCTTGTAAAAATCCAAGTCGTTTAGACGACGACCAAAAATATGGATGCGTCATCACTGTTTCCGCATTTGGCCTATACACATATTATTGATTTTTAATAATCCATAATAATAATTAATAATAACAAATAAAAAAGTTACCTTTTTTCAGGATCACGCTCGATCATCCTTTCAATCAAATCTCTAGCCTCGATGCCTTCCTTTTCTATATCATCCAATTTATTTAAATCGTACACTCCTTTCAATATATTTATTTCTCTGGAATACCGGTCTCCAAATGGATGACATCCTCTGGACAACACATAATAAAATAAGCAACCTGCGGAGAAAATATCTATTGCTTTTGTGATTCTGCGTGGACAATCTTCTTCACTATTCAATGATCCTGACGACGTAAAAGAACAATTTGATTGGTCCACGGATGTCCATGCATCTGCTGCTGTAGTATTGTTGTCTGGTGATGATGATAATGATGTGTGTGATAACAACTCTGGCGCTCTCCAGCCAATCGTACCGCCGATATTGTTTGTAGTATTGTGAAAACTACTTGAATCCCCTTCTAACTTTTTGCATAATCCAAAATCAGAAATCAGCACTCTGATTTTCGATTTTTCATAAACAATTACACCTTTCTTTTTGATTGTTTTCTTGTGTTTTGAAGCAGCTATTAGAATATTTTGTGGTTTTATGTCTCGATGTACCAGTTTGATAGAGTGGAGATGATGTAGACCAGAAATAATTTGATAAAGGATTTTTGATGGGTGTAATGACTCTATCAGATGCGCATGTTCAAACATCGAACCTCTTTCTATAAAATCATGTAAAGAAGCAGGACAAAGTTCCAGTGCAATATATAAGAAACGGTCACATTGTTGTTTGCAATAGTATCTTATAACATTTGGGTGATCGTCACTTTCTTGAAGCAATGATACTTCGTGATGTGCTATATCATAAAAATCAAGCAGTAACCGTTTTACAGCTACTTCTTTTCCTTCAAAGCTTCCTTTATATACAATAGTACCATGACTTCCATAACCTAGTATGTATATATGTGTATATATATATATTTATTTATATAGTTTAATAATGATCATGTAATAATAAAATAAATTTTTTCAAAAATAAATATATATGTCACCTAAAACGGTATCTGTAATCATTAAAGAATTTAATTTAAACTCGCCATTAACTGCAGCAGTGGAAATGTTAGATGATGCATTGTTTTCAATAGTTGAAGTAGGAAGGTTAACATCTAAATTTTGACTATTATTGTTATTTGTTATTGTTGTTTCTTTATTAGAAGTTGTAGTGCCATTTATTTTCAAATCATCATTTTTAAGCTCGACTTTCTTATTATTTGCATTATTATTATTATGATTATGGTTTTTGTTACCTTTCTTTTTCTTTTTATTACCAACTTCTTTTTTATTGGATTTTACTTGGTTAATACCATTGCCACTACTATCTTTACTAAAAAAAGTTTCATTAAAATCATTATACTTTTGTGCAATTGTTCCAAGTAATGGAGTCAACAATAATTTGTTAAAAAAATGTCTGCCATTTTTATTATTATACTTGTTCCAATAAATAATACCAATAAAAATCAATAAAATAATACTGAATAACGAGAATCCAATACGTGTTAAACTAATAATGGAATCAGCTTTATCTATCGAAGGGGAAGCAGAAGAGGAATGATTATTTTCTAATGAAGGTGATGAAGACGATGGCGAGTAGAGGGGTGATGGACCTTCGATACCTAATCTAAAAATATGCTCTTCATTGTTTATCAAATAATTATCATCATCGTAATCATTATTATTTCCAATTAAACAGCTTGGATATAATGGTGAACCAAGTTGACAAGTTTCGTCATCATTATTGTCCACTTTTAACTTTAAAAGTTCATTTGATAATGATGTTGGTAATGATAATGATGGTGGTGGTGGTGGTGGTAACGATGATGGTTGTGCTGGTGATATGTATTCAGGTGAGGAAGAAAAAGAATCAAAAAGTCCAACAACAGGAGATCGAAGTACTTGATGCCATTCGTTTCGAGCTTTTTATTTTAAATCATATTTATTAGACATGAAATATTAAAAACGATAATAATTATCATTGTTATATATAAATATAAAAAGAAGATCTTTCTTACTAGAATAAGAATTAGTTGATAATATATCACCATTTGGAGCTGCAATGTATAAATCATTATTATGTGGTTTTGTTTTATGTATTAATTCAATACTTGTGTCATAGCTATGTGGAATGTATTCGGTATAAGTTACATTTCGTTTCGTTATTCCATTTTCAAAAATTCGTATTTTATATGCTAAATTTATTAATTATCATTAACATTATATTATATATATACATGGTAATTTTTTTTTTACATTTTATAGAAATTATCTAATAATAATATAATATGAATATTTACCATTCATGCAAATGTATAAAGCATCTTTAGGCAAAAAAGGACATTCGTTTTCATTATCTCTTTCATTATTATCAAATGTTTTTATCAACTTTTTGGTTGTAGGATCAATTGCATAGAATTTTGTAGATTTGGTACCAACAATAATTTTATTGGCATCAGATCCACTAAATAACGAATTCATGACCGACAACTAACCAACCAGCTAATATAATAATAGTAATGTTAATAATAGTAATAGATTTATAGAAGTGTAAAAATTTATTATTTTCAATTTAGAATTTTTTTTTTTTTATGAATGTCCCACAAGCATAGTGAAAGTTGTTGTTACACGAAAAGATATACAGAACTGAAAACCCACCAGTTACCTCTCTAAATTGGAGATCCAAATTCAAATCCAGTTTATCACTTACTTTTTATTATGTTTGCCGTGTATTGTAAAGCTACATTGCACAATATAAAATATTAGTGTAACATTTCAATCAATGATCTATTTATGGTATATAATAATTGATATATACAAAGCCTCAACTTTATTTTAAAATAATAAGGCCTTTTAAACATCTTTATCATCACCATAACTTTTAGCAATAACTGCTCTACCCTCTTCGGCCAATCCTATCAATTCTATGATTCAAAAACATTAAAATAAAATAAAAGATTAATTGGAGTTAAAACACATATTCGATTGAAGCATGCAAGTATCATTATTAAAATCCAACGCATTATATTAAAATTCCAATGCAAGGTTGACCAACAACATTTTTTCTTTTTATCGAAATAATTCAACGTAATAATTATCAAGGTTTTGTGCTGGTGATTATATTTTCCTTGGGTGGATAATTTTGGTAAAAATTTAAATTGTTTTTTTGAAATTATTGCAGAACGTGATCAATATGAACGCGGGCAATTATAAATAAAAAAGTATACACAATTCAACAGACCTCGATTTAGCGAATTTCTGAATAAAACATTAAACGGATCGAGATCTATAATAATAACGATTTACTATCAATACTAATCTTGGTATAGCGGATTTTTGAGCAAACATACCCGGATGGATTTTAGGGTTATATCCTTTATATATATATATATATATATTTCCGGGAATAAATGCAGGGATATTAATATGCAATTCAACCCCTTACAAAGAATGTACCGGATTTATTCGATCGGATATGGTGCTTTTGAGAACAAACGATATTAATATAATAATAAATATAAATATATGATTACATTACATATTATCTTCCGTTTTGTGAATAATTAATCCTTCAAAATAAAATAATATTTAATTTTCCAGATTGGGATAATTAATAAAAATTACTTAAATATTATCAACAATTATGAATAGGAGGACATATTGAATTGACAACAAAATAAATAGAGATCTGGTGGATCATATTAATAGCAATCTCATCAATGAATAGTTTTGGTTATTGAATTTGTGGTATATTTGTTTTTCTCAAGTTATTATTTTCTTTATTCAATGTTATCTCGACAATTCGGAGCATTTTATACATGCTAATTGGTTAGAGAATGCAATTAATTAGCATACAATCTAAGCCAAAAACGTTCTACCTAAAGAACGGCACACGGGAGTGATAGATATCATGATTGTTCACAAAAACAGAACACATAATTTGTTAATGTATTTTTCATTATTATGATTATATTTTTATATCTAAATGTAACAATAAATAAAACAACAACAAACAACAAATTTCATCAATAAAAACTCTTTCCCCAAACTTCTTTTAACAAATCCATTCTTTTTTAAAATCATTCCTTACTTTTAAAAAGAAAATGTCTTCATCTTCGTTAAAACCACTGTTGAATTCCAAACATAGCACCAAACTCGACAACGTTCGCAGCATTCATAACCTCGACAACAATCTCTTTTATCATCTAGATGATAAAAACCAAAATACATTATTCAAAAGAGTCAAAATTTTATCAATTCATTTTATATTGATAAGCTTTGGATGTTTTGTTTTATTCGAAGTAATATTTTCAACAAGCACATTAATTATCTCATCCAACAAACCATTGCTAACATCGCCAAACGAAATAATTATCACCCACAAAAATGACACTGACATCAACAACAACAATAATAGTAATGATAATAATAACAGTGTCAACGGAATCGACTATTTCGACGACCTAGACAATGATAAAGGTGAGAAATATATGACATTTTTACCTCATAGCGGACTTCATAATCAAAGAATAGGATTTGAAAATGCTATATTTATGGCTTGGTTTCTTAATAGGACATTAGTCATGCCACCTGCTCTACTTGGAGCTAGATTTCAATATATTAGAATAAAACAGAAAATAAAATACCTAAAAGCTGAACCTGTCGATTCAATCTGTGAAAATATAGAGTATAGATCCGAAAATCAAAAATGCAAAATGTTTCATAATTCATACACACTTTATCCATTCGACCAACTATTCAACTTTACATTCGCCAGACAACACGTCAAGATTATGAATGTACCAGATTACAATGACAATACGGTTTTTAAAATGTTAAATATCACCAAGAGAAAAGAAGTTTACTATTCATTAACCTGTAAACTAAATAATAAATTATACGACACAGAAGCAAAATCAAACATTAAAAAACTCAAGGGTAACACTTTTATAAAGCTTCAATCATTACAAGAACTCAGGGAATATCCTGAAAAGCTTTTATACTTTGGCAGTTTATTCGGCTCGAGTAGAATTATTACGAATTTGCAATCATCAAAATATTTCCTTACAACATTAAGGCAATCACTTGTACCGATCGATCCAATAATGTTAAGTGTAGTGGGTAGTATAGCTGAAAAATTGGGCGGTGCTGGTGAATATATTTCAGCTCATGCTAGAGGCGGCGATCACACTTTTAAAGAGACAAGAGAGGAACATTTTGCCACGTTGGTAAAAAACATTGATGAAAATTTTCCAGAAGCCTCAAAATACTCGACATCTTTGAAAACATGTCCACTTAGTTTTACAAAACCTGGAAACAATAAAAATAGAATAATATATGTGGCTAGCGATCTTGATAAAAACAATGAATCAATGAAAATATTCCTGAAAGAATTTCCTTGTCTAAAAATGCTTTCTGATTTCACCGATCAACTTGAACCCTACCAACATTTTATAAACCCTGTAGATAATAAAGTAATGCGTAATTATTTAATGCCTTTAACTGATCTTATGGTGGCTGCTAATAGCCTCAAAGTATTTGCAGTTAAGGGCAGTACCTATGGGGTTTATATGGAAAGATATAATTCTATTTTATCTATGAATTTTTAAAAACATTGGTTATTTGTGGGAAATATAAATTTGCATTTATAAATAAATAAAAAAAAAAAAAATAGAAATTTAAAATGTTATTTTTTGTTTTTTTGTTAGTCAATAAAATTTTCAAATCCTACAATAACGCTAACAGTGGCATTAGTAACAACAATAATAATTTAAGTCCTACGGTAGGAACAAAAATAACCATAAGAATAACAGTACAATTGGCGCTCGATATAGTGTACCTACTATATAATGAATCAATGAAGTTGGGAAATTTCATTATATATAAATTCAGCTCGATATAATGATTTTTAATGAAGTTTTTTCAACTCTTCCTTATATCGAGCGCCAACCGTATATAATTCCTATGTAAAATGGGTGTAGATGTTATTTATCCATTAATTACATGTTACTATAATTCGTTTTTTCCTGGTGATCAATATCGATAAAAATTAGTATTAGTATTAGCCACAAACTTTAATTTTACACTTATTACGTTACGTTACGTTACGTTACGGTAACAGTAACAGTAACTTCTTTTACAACGAAACATTTCCCGTGCAACCAAACATTTCAAAATTGGGCAAAGTTGTTAGATTAGGGAAACATACAAAAAAAAGGGAAATATTACACAAAATATAAAAAATCTACACGAAAATTGCAACATTTAGTAAGGCACCGTAACACGGCAACTTTTTCTTCTTTTATATATGTTAACAAGTTTTAAACGAAAACATAACAGTGAGTTTCGTGAAATACAGAATAGCATTATATTGCGATAATAATTTTCGGTGTCATAGTATTATAAAATCACATGGCTTCAATCACTTATATATATTCATTCGGTGCATCAAAATTAGCACCGGATGCGAAGCATTATAGCATCTTATCATGTATTCGTGATCAATGATGTAATCTTTAAAATTAGATTATCAGGCAGGTCCTATGTAATCACTGGCAGAAATAAACAAACTTATTTTTGCAGCTTTATATTATAATCATGTGATACAATCGGTTTATCGTTTAATAATAAGAATTAAGGAAAAAAAATTTTTTATTTCTGCCAGTAATACGTCGGACCTACCTAACAAGAACTTATTTCATGGCCAGATGGTACATTGATCGAGTGATCTAATAAATTACAACAAAACAAATAAATAGACCCGCTACCCTAAAAAATAGCAAAAAATGGTGCATTGGTTTTGCTTTTTACGTTGTATTCGAATTCTAGGATCGAGGAGCGTAGTGCTGAAATGTCATTCTATGTATTATTCGGCTTTGCACGTTACATTCAAATGCAAGATATTTATATATTCATTCGGAGCATCAACATTAACCAGTAATATTATTATTGTTGTTATACCAATATTTTTATTTTATTCGTTGCGTTGAGCTAAAAATTTATTTATTTACTTATTTAAAAAATTCCAAATACAAAGGAAAATTGTTCACAAATTTAATAAATTTAATAAAAGATCCTTTGCGAAGAAGAACTCTTATGTGAATCAAAAGTTATTTACGAATTTTTGATTGTTAAGAAATCAACTAAGCTTTTTTTCCCTAATTAAAAAAAAAGATCTTTTTGTCCTGATCTTTTCCTCCTGTTTATTGATTAATCCCAGATTAAAGGTCAATTTGATCGATTGGATTTTTTTTTCAAGTCTATTTCTATGGAAGAAAAAACTTCATGCAAACATCAAAAGTTAGTTACAAATTTCGGTTGTTAAAAATCAACCAAATTTTTTTTCTTAATTAATTAAAAAAAAAATATTTTTTTTGTTCTGAACTTTTTGTCGTGTTTATCTATTTATCTTCTTCGCTCAACCCTGAAGTTTTGAACTAGTGTTGGTTTCCAAAACTAGAGAGTTTCGCAACCGTGCGAAAGTCAAAAGGTTTCGCCATAAGTCAAAACTAGTTTTGATTTTTGACTATTGACTTTTGATTTAGTTTTGACATATAACTTTTAATTTTAGTTTTGACAGCCAACACTATTTTGAGATAAATTTTTCGGTTGTCAAATGGATATCAATGGGAGTTCGTATGATAGGCGATGTAAAAATAACCACTACCATTTATCATTTTCGGAAAACGAAAATATTTTTGTTCAAATCCCAACTAACAAATTAATTTGCACCAAAAAAAAAAAAAAAAAACGACTCATTACAAAGTTTTACCCTTTGATTTGGATCTCATCCCTCTCCAATAATCCAATTTACTAAAGTTGAGCATCAAAGTGTTTAGAAGATTCGTGATTCGTTATCACCGCAACTGCACTGAATTTACTATTACCGTTTCAAGTTAATATTTCTCGTGCAACCAAGCATTTCAAATTTGAGAAAATAATTAACACAAATTAAAATATACGACATTTAGAAAGGAACCGTAACACGGCAACCTTTCTTTCTCTTATGTCAAGGAAAGTTATTCTCAAAAAAAATCTCTACACTATTCATTAATATTAAAACACCAAGTCGAATTTGTATTTTATATTTTGTATAATGTCACATGCTAAATTAGTATCATCATTATCACTAGAAAGATGGGAATTTATAGCTAAAATTTATGGTGAAATATATCGTGATGCAGAAGTTAATTCTGATAAAGAAAGTAGAAAAGATTATTTTTTTTCATTAGTCAAAAGCAAGGAGCTTTCTGAAAATGAAAAAGAATTTTGCAAGGAAAAGTTTATTTATGATCATGAATTAAGAAATGCAAGAAATAAATGGGGTGAACCAAAAGAATGTAACAAGTGCAAATTGACAAGTTACTCTGATAGATTCTGTGAAGGTTGCATCAGTTTACAGCTACAGAGACTTTTCACCACTTGGACATCTGGAAATAACATAATTGATAATTTTATTCAACAATGTCAAATGATGTCATCTCTGCCAA